ATTTCTGTGCCATACTGATTGACCATATAATTTCCATTCGAGTGTCCTCGATCTTGAAATCAACTTTCAATATTTTCCTCATGATCCAGGCCATCAAAATTACTAACTCGTATCCAAATAATTTCCCTTGCCATAAAGATAGCTTATTAAAATTTAAATTAATAATCGAGGGACCTAATTGACAAAATTAGAATTTATGGGGTCAATTTAATACTTAGTTACCAAAGTTAGTGACCAAAATAATCTTATTAAAATCATTAAGCAATATTCATAACCATATGAAAACTAGGAGGTAAAGTTAAGTACTCACCAACTTTGGCGGACTTATGCTACGATTTACCCTTCATCCTTTATCACCATTTCCTAAACTCACGTGCTCTCTAATATTCCTACCTTTCTCACTTTCTTTTCTTCTTTCATGCATTTTTCCCCTTAACATAATGCTCTGAAGTAAAGCAAGAAAGCTTCACCGGTCCAGTAGAAATCAAACGCCGGTGACTACCGTGTCGGCCACCTCTCCGACCGTCGTTCGAAACACAAATACACTTCCTGAAGCACCTTATCTTCCTCTTCAAAAATATAACCTTCGTTTAGTTTGAAACTTTATAGATGGTTGTAGATCTACAAAAAACCCTTCAATTTTCTCTAAACAAAAGGCTTTTGTTCGCTGCTAGCAACAATTCGATGGTGCTAAGACCGAAAAATGTTGTTCCTCGCTTCTATTAAATGCTTCTCACCATTGGAATCTCCAAGACAAAGCCTTTAATGCCAAGAACAAAACTCTCGTCCTGTCTCCAGCGTTTATCTTCCTATTTATAGTATTTTACGCTGTTATGAGTCGATCGGTTTCTTGTTTACGATTTTATCGTACTGCTCACTAAGATCGATCGTCACTCGTCCTCTTCAGTGACCGATTAAAACTAAATGAACCACTTTGGCTATGGGCATGCTAGACAAGGGATGGCTCGGTGTTTTGATGGTCAACAAAAGTTATCCCTCTGGTGGCCGAAAACAAAGCTTGGTGAAGGATTGTTGCACCCATTGTTGGTGCTTTTGAGTACTGGTTTCGTCCCCCCAATGGAGAATATAATTTCATCCATCTATAGTTATAAAATAATTTTAATAGTTTAGTATAGCATAGTACCCTCCACTAGTTAACAAAGGCATGCTCCATTATTGTATAACACGTTTCAATTCCACTAAGCACTTGTTTATTATATTTTTTCATTATTATCATTAAAAGAGGGACAATATAATGCTTATATCTTTGAATTTTCAGGAATTTCAAAAATTACCATAAAATTTTGAGAATCATACAATTTGGTCTCTAAAAATTATTTACCCCAACTTCAGGGTGTGACATTACTTCTAACTTGAAACTCTAAATTATAAATTTTAAGTTGAGGTTTAAGATTTAGAGGTTGTGGGTCATGGTTTAGGGTTTATGGTTTAAAATTTTAAATTAGGGATGCAATATATAATGATACAATTAAACAAATTCAAAGATTAAATTGATGTGAAAATACGATAAGAACGAAAGTAATAAATTAGATCTACCACAATGGTAAAAACTACTTTTTCACCTAAAAAATATCATATATTGACTTTTTCAATCGAGACGGACATAATGATATATACAGTGTTAACGACAAACTGGCCAGCTATTATATATATATATAATAAGGATCACCGATCCTAGTATCAGAAAATCGCAGCCAAAAAGTTTGACTGAGGATAAAATAATGGTGAAAGATTGTTACAGAAATACCCAGAGCCGCCGCCATATTCTGGCATAAGGCGGCGGGGATCATGGATAAGGCCGTCTGCTGCCAGTGTTTGGTTTGTTTCCGAAGAAATTTGGGGCAGAATGCGGATCTGGGTCACATTTTTGGGGCCACATTTTGTGATACTCTACATTTCCGTCTCCTAGAAGGGCTTTGGATTTCATCACAATATACATATTGGCCCAATAGGTCAAACGAGAAAAAAATTTAATCTAATAGAATGAAAAATTATATTAAAATATTAAATTTCACGAGATCCACATATTTAAATCCATTAAAATATAATTTCAAGCAAATTCGTCAATTGGGCATAACGAGTTTTCTTAGTACTATAAAATTTGATGTAGAACTCGAAATATTTTTGGGTTGGACTTTTTTCCGCTTGACCTGTTGAGCCAATTTTACGGCGAGACGTTAATTTTTTAAATGTTTAATTTTTAAATAAAATAAATTAGACTAACGTTTTTTTACTGTTTACCGTTACGGTATTGATGTGATAGTTCACGGTACTGATATGATAGTATAGGGTTGAAGATTTACGCCCGGCCTCCGCATCTGTCTCAACACCCCTCGATTCGCCACCATCATCGACTGCGTCATTACGTCAGACCTCCGCATCTGTCTCCTCCACCTTCAATTCCCTGCAATCGAGTTGGAGAGTCACGTCAATACCGTAAACTGATACATCAATACTGTAACGATCAACGACAAAAACGTTGGTTAAAGGGTCACATTAGATTTATTTTCTAAGTTGGAGGATCACATTAAGAAGAAAAATTAACACGAGGACCACGTTGATTTTTCTTCAAAACCACATATACCTCTGATACCATTTTGCCTTCATTAATTGAAGTTTGATAATTACATATTCATATTTATTTTTCTATGTCTATGATAATAATAAGATGGGCCATTGAAGAAAGCGAAAGATCAAATTAATGATAGAATAGGATAAATGAAGGGAGACAGAATAGGATTAATTTGGGTCGGTAAAAATTATCCAAAGTTTATATACTTTAAAAAAAATAATGTAATACTCGTATTATTTTTTTCTCTCAATATAGTTCAACTCAAAAATAAACTTAATGTAGTATTTTGACCAACGTTTTTTTATCGTTGATCGTTACAGTGTTAACATGACAGTTTAATATACTAACGTGATAGTTCATGGTGTTGATGTGATAATCCAAATGATTGATAAGTGATAACGTGACAGTTGATCGTAATTGATAACTTAAACATGACATATAGATTGTTACATCAATACCATGAACCACCATGTCAGCACCGTGAACTAAGGATGGCAATTTTACTCGTATCCGACGGGTTCTGACCCAATCGGGTCTAATTTTTTTTTAAAAAAAATGGGTTCAGATCAGCTTCGACTGGAGGGTAAAAAACTCTCACCCGAGGATAATAATATAATTTTCTTTAAAATAAGTCGGGTCAAATTTATACTCTAAAAAATCGAGTCAGATTCATGTTGGATGGAAGATATATATTTTCACGACGAGTTGGATCGGATGTAAGATATAAAATTTTTCGATCAGATCAGATTAAAATAGATAGTACATATTTTCGAATCAAGTCGAGTTAACCAAAAAGTCAACCCTAACTTAATAGTTATCATCCTATCGTGAATTATAACATTAATACTAAGTTATCATATCTAATTAAAGTACACGTTGAACATATATTTTTTCTTCTAAAGTACAGGACCTGTAATATCTTTTTGGATCAGATATATAATGTGATCATTAACCTTTCAATTTTGGCAGTTTGTTATGGCATTGACATATATGAGCTTTCCGTATGTATTACGGAATATAGCAATCAAATGAGGAATAAAATATCAGAGCTGATGGCAATAATGAAATTTCCTACAGCACCTACTTGCTTACTATTATAAATGTCTGTCACTTCATGAAAATAATAATATCCACCCAAGCTGAAAGGAACTACTAAGACTTGTTGTCAGGCGGAGATGGGATATTCCGGTGACGAATTTGACGTTATTGTAGTAGGCGCCGGGATCATGGGGAGCTCCACGGCGTACCAGCTAGCCAAGAGAGGCCAGAAAACACTGCTTCTCGAGCAGTTTGACTTCCTGCACCACCGCGGTTCTTCCCACGGCGAGTCTCGAACCATACGAGCAACGTACTCCGAAGACTACTACTTCAGCCTGGTGATCGAGTCGTATCGGTTATGGGAGCTGGCTCAGACCGAAATCGGCTTCAGGGTGTACTTCAAGGCCCGACACTTGGACATGGGACCAGCCGATGCCAAGAGTTTGTTATCGGTCATCGCCTCGTGTCGGAAAAACGCCGTCCCGCACCAGGTTCTCAACCGCAGGCAAGTGGCCGAAAGATTCTCCGGCCGGATCGACATACCGGACGATTGGATAGGCGTGTCGTGTGAGCTCGGCGGTGTCATCAAGCCCACCAAGGCGGTGTCGATGTTTCAAATGCTTGCTCTGAAGAATGGTGCATTCCTTAGAGACAACATGCAAGTGATTAATATAGCCAAAGATGGAGACCGTGGAGTGACGGTAACCGCGAGCGGGGGCGAAAAGTTTCGCTGTAAAAAGTGTGTGGTGACCGCCGGTGCTTGGATGAGAAAGTTGGTTAAAACAGTCATTGGAATTGAACTGCCGATTCAACCATTGGAGACCAATGAATGCTACTGGAGGATAAAGGAAGGACACGAGGGAAAGTATGCAATCGGGACCGATTTCCCGACGTTCGTTAGCTATGGGCAGCCATACATATACGGCACACCATCGTTGGAGTATCCGGGGCTGATCAAAGCAGCGGTGCATGGGGGTTACCAATGTGACCCGGACAAAAGGTCATGGGGACCTGGACTTGTACCGGACACATTGAAGCAATGGATCGAGCAGAGGTTTAAAGGGTCAGTCGATTCGAGCAGCCCTGCCGCGACTCAACTGTGCGTGTACTCGATGACACCCGATGAAGATTTCGTGATAGATTTCCTGGGAGGGGAGTTTGGGAAAGATGTGGTGATTGGTGGTGGGTTTTCAGGCCATGGGTTCAAGATGTCACCTGCTGTGGGGAGGGTACTGGCTGATTTAGTGCTTACAGGAGAGGCAAAAGGCGTTGAGCTAAAGCACTTTAGGATAGCAAGATTCCAGGAGAATCCCAGAGGGAATATTAAAGATTATGAAGATCAAGTTGGGCTATTATTGAAAAGTACACTGTGAATTAGTAATATGTCTATCTCAACTTCATTTAATCTGTGAATTAGCTACCCCAAACTTGTTTTTGTATCACTTAATTTGATGTTCCAATGAATAATATGCAATTTTCATGGAATGACTTGCAGTGTTCTTTCTCTGGCACATGATAGACATCTATTTCCTCTCACAATCTGCAATGTTTTCCAGATTCCTCAGATTTCTCCCGGGTTTAACTTGTATCAAACAGATCAAATGGATCAATGAAAATCGCAGACACAGAAATGGGTAGACTGGGAAATCCGATCTTACTCGGGTCAGAGTCCTCCCAGCAGGGGTTGAATCAAAGAAAAGCATTGGAGCTTTGAAGATGGCATTGGTTAGACCAGAGAAGAAGGCTTTAGAAGCTATTAATCCCCAAAACATCTATGTCTACAGGTTTCATAGTTTGAAAACACAATTGTAGTACATGAATTATTATGGTTAAATCTTAGACCCTGCAATTAGACTAACCATATCTTAGAAGAGTTCCTCGAGTGACCTTGGTAGAGTCGAGTACCGAAAATTCTTTGTACTCAAAAGGAACAAGCCATTATTGATCATCCACAAGCTCTTCTTCGTCTGAGTCTTCATTGATAAGGGGACCGTTAGCCATCGATTCATCTCCGTCGGAGTCTTCATTGATATCTTCCAAATCTTTCTGATACACTATTCGAACCCCACATTTCTTCACCTTAACACATTTGGAACATTTATCAGATGTTATCGACAATTGAAGTTCATTGAATACCTGATTCGAGTAATCTGTTGTCGGTGAATCCTCAATTTCACTTTCACCACATTTGTCATCCGAATAAAATGGATATAATAAGTCACGCGGCCGGCAAGTAAGTATGATAAAAGTGGTCCTTTATTATGGGTTGGACATATTCTTTATTAAAAAACCAGCTTCTCCATATGACATGCTGAGGATTTTTAACCCAAGAAACAGATCCATCACAAGTAGCTTGTACAGATATTCTATGATGGATATCAAATTCACAAGTGAGTTCCTCATGCCTCGAAGCATCATCATCGACAAAAACGCAGGCGAAAGAAACTCCCATCCATTGACTATCATTTTGAATATTGTTAGGCAGTGGTATCTTGATTGACGAGTCAACGGCTTGATGGCTGAACCATTTTGGGATTTCACTTCCAGGCTTAACAGCATCAAACCCTTTTCTTGAAATTACATGTTGCTGCAAAATACAACTTATGTTACTTGGTGAGTAATACTAAAAATTATTCAAACAAGAGATTTCGTAAGTGCGAAAGAGAGATTAATCGACCTTTATATGTCTTCCCAGCAATGTATAAACATCGCTACTCTCAGCCAATCTATAGCAGTGAAGACCCCTTATCCGTGGTCCACCCACTGAATTGCATACCTTATTAGGAACTAGTTCTAGAGAAGAATAACCATCTATGTTTACACCTTCTGTACTTATAAACCCGGGAAAATGTTTAAGCTCCTTGCAATTTGACAATCCAAGATATTGAAGCTTGAAAAGTAGAAAAAAAGACAAAGGTGTGCTGACGAAATTGTTACCACTGAGATCAAGAGTTATCAAAGAGGATAGACAAAAAATATCACTGAGAATATCTCCTTGGCAAAGATTGCAGTCCTTTAGTTTCAAGCTAGTTAATGATGTCAAACCTGACAGTGAATGTAATATTAGAGGCAATGACTCCATACTTCTTTGGAAAACCTGGAAAAGAGAAGGTAGATTTGTTCCAAACTTAGATGATGATCCCTTGCACCCATTGAAAGACAGAGCCTTAAGATTTTTGAATCGGAAAATGAAGTATGGCGGTTTTGCAATGGCTGTTCCACTCAATTCAAGATCTTCCAGAGACTCTACTTGCTGCAAATTCTCAGGCAAATTTTCAACTTTATGACAACTAGAAAGATCAAGAGTTTTTAGAGAATTGCACCCTCCTATTTTGGTTGGAAGATTCCTAAGACTCTTGCAGCCTCTTAAGTTCAAAAGTTGAAGCCTCAAAAGAACTCCGATCGATGGATGAACATCTACTATTTTTATACAACCCTCCAATATCAAAATTTCCAGATTTGGGCTTGTTGTGAAGTCTGGTGTCTTGATCAGGTTTTGACAGCCTCTGAGGTTGAGCACTTTCAACTTGTACAAGAGCTGTTGAAAACGATGATGAATTAGAGATGAAAGAGAAAAGCTTGATCAAGAAACCAATCTGATAAAGCTAGAAAAGAACGATCGGGTGAATGAATCATTACAGTGTTTGCCTTCCATAGTTGTTCGATGCGACCGTATGGCAAGAGAAGAGCAACAAGGTTGTCGAGTTGGAAGCTTGGAGGCAAAAATCTTAAAGGATATCCTGTCCAATCTAAACGTCGTAGCTCACTAGAAAGATATTTGAGATCATCACAGTTTAAGAGGCAAAGGACTTTGAGCAATCTCAACTTCTTCATCTTCCACAAGGCATCCACATTCAAATTCAGCATCTTCTTCGATTCCCTGATATAGCCATAGGTAAAAGAACAAAAATTCGCTTCAAAAAGGACACCAAAGCAGTCCCTGGTAACAATATGAATATCATACATCAATACACGTGTATGTATGCTTTCCCACCTTTTATTGTCAATGATCATGCCTTCAATCCCTTCTGTAGCCTAAAAACAATCAAGAACAGAACATAAAAAAACACAAAATAGAAGGAATATGATCAAACTTGTGAAAATTTACATTTTTGTATATCATCTTGCCTTTAACATTATTATAGTCTTTCGGTTAAATATAGTAAAGCAATTTCTGTGGAATGACTTAAGTGTTTTTGGTTAGCACATCATAGACATCTTGTTCCTCCCACAATCTACAACGTTTTCCAGGTTCCTCAATACATTTTTCCCTAACAATTTTTCTTCCCATTTCTTGTAGCAGGTTATGCATCCACAATTTGTTGTCTTCATGAACTGTTAATTGAGACTTCTTAACAAGAACATCGATTCCGATATCCGGGAAAAACTCACAACCATCCAATACTTTGATTACAAAATCTTTCTCCTCCCCATTGAAGAAGCATGCTATGTCTAGAAATATATTCTTTTCCTTTTCTTCCAATCCATCAAAGCTTATTCGAAGCTTGTCGAGAATTTCTTTGTTAGAATCTTTTTCAAGCCTTTCGATTGCACTTCTCCATTGTGTTGCATCTCTTCCACACAAAAACGAACCCAAAACTTCAAGAGCTAAGGGAAGGCCACTCGCGTATTTTACAACATGTTTAGAGCTCAATGAAGACATTTTCTGGTATTGTCTCACTATCAAAAGCTTTCAAATTGAAAAGCCGAAGTGCATCATCGTCATTCAATGTTGTAGGCTTATACACATCATCGACTCGGTAAGATCTGAGCAAATGTTCATCTCTTGTTGTTCCAATGATTCTGCTTCCTAAACAGAACCAATTACGCCTTCCAACCAAGCATTTCAAGTGTTGTTCATTAACCACATCATCGATAACAACAAGAACCCTTTTGTGAGACAACCTGTGGCTAATTATGGCACTCCCTTCATGAACATTGAAAAAATGGAAACCTTCATCAGACAAGACCTGGAAAAGAAGTTGTTTCTGTAGAGAAACGAATCCGAGTTTTCCCGCAACTTCTCGAACATCAGCGATGAAGCCTTTACCTTCAAAATGAGATGACGTTTGGTCATAAACAACTCTTGCGAGTGTTGTTTTACCGATACCACCCATTCCGCATATTCCTATAATGCAGACATCATCTTCCCCGATCTCTATTTTCGAATACAACTCTTCCAAGTGTGAACTAATTTCAACAAACTCATCATGAACAATTGGATACTTTTGACATAATTTTGCGGATATTTTTCTAACAATGTCTGCAATAAACTCTGATTCATGCCTACAAAAGAAACAAAATTTAGTTCTTTTCCAACAATTAAACACATAAGATATATATAGATATAACTTGTGATCCAAGAAACAACAGTTTTGTAATCATTAAATCACCTGCCATTTAAATGCCATCCCTTGCTGTTTGCCACTTGAGTCAATGCATTTCGCCACCTTAAGATCTTGTCTTTATCTTCCTTGTATCTCTCTTAATGTTTGGCAAAAGCTTCCTCAACTTTCTCCTTCTGTTTTCTAAAATTAGATGGATCCACGCTGTAGAAAATTGGAAATACTTTTATTTCTTTTCTCGTTCTTTTGTTTAACAATCTCGGCAAGTTACTCCAGGCACCAACCTGAAAAGGCATAGGTTTCCGAGAAAACGATTACGGAGCACCACGATTGTTGGATGGCTCTGAAGAGTTACGGTGCAATCTCTTCACCGGCGTCCAGTTTTGAATCATCCCTGAAAGTTACAAGTCCACTCCGTTTTAGAGCATCATAGAGATGATCTGTGAAGTTTTTGCGGGTATCTTCGCCTCTAAAACTCAAGAAAACATTGTATTTCCTTGTAGGAATAGATGATGAGGATGACATGATTAAGTATGATAAGGAAACTATAAACAATCAAAGTATAGGAACAAAGAAAAAAACCTGAGCAAAACAGACCAATTTTCCAAGGAAACAAATTTGGGTTATAGACCAGAAATGATGTATTTGAGAAGGCTTCGTTCATCAGCAAGAAGCCGAGTTCGAAATAATATTGAATTGCTTTAGTGAATGAAATGAAAGAGGGAGACTTGTCAAGTAAACGTTGGATTCTATGCATGGTCACAATTATGAAGCACTACATTGACAATTACTGTTTAAATGATGAAACATCAAAACAAAGTCAAGAGTTGCCCAGTAATTTCTTTATGAAAAAAATGGGTTAACTTTCAGTTCAAGCCATGATCAAGATCAATCAGTGCCTACAGCTGGAAAAAAAAAGCATAATTAAACCTTCAAATATGGTCGAAACTCGAATCGAATTTGCACTTATATACCGAAGCTACTTCACAACAACTCACTGAGTAGAAATCAGAAATGAAAGATGCATAGCGTCTACCTTAGTTTCCTTGTAACTCAGTGCAGATTGGCAAAGAGCAGCAGCACGTCTACTTGCTATATAGCCTTCACAGTCACAGCTGCCTGGCCTTAGTAAGTTTGTTGCTTCTAATTTGCTTTGTAGTTGATCCCCGAACTATGACTATCATTTTAAATTAATCCTCAAATTTGTAAATTTTTTATTTTGCTATAAATCATCTATAAATTATCATGTTATCAATTGACGTCAATCATTCGGAATAGGATTATTTAATTTGATTCCGGTTGAAATTAAGCAATCTTATTCCGGATCGATGGATAATTTGAATTTGAATGCCATGATTCTTGTTTTTTAAATAAAAGTAAATATATTTTGCCTTATATTAAACCTAAAGTGTTATGAAATCTTTAGTTCAAATTGGTGAAGAAAACTCATAAAAGCTTCGATGTTATCATCCAATGTATCGGTCGTGACAGACTATTTCATGTGTACGGGCAGAACATAGCAAAAACAGTCACTCCTTGGTCTGTGCTGCATCGTCTTCATTGCAACAAAAACCCAAAATCCCGCCTATAAGCCCTTTTAGCTGCTCCCTCTTCTTTCAATAGCTTATAAAGCCGTTCGCGATCTATAAACGACTTATTCATGAGGTTGACGGCATCATCCATGAACTGCAATAACAGTAGTAAGTACATGAAATATTATCAGATGCATATACTTCACATCGATGGTCTTTTTGACCGATTGTTTGAGGGCTATGGACCTATGTTGCTCGGACTCTTCGTTTTCTCTTAAAGTATGCATGTCCAGTGTTCGTGATCAACACATGAATAGATATGACCTCCAAGGATCCTCTAAATAGATGAATTTAGAAAATATCTAACCTTACACGTGGAAGATACGTACCCGTATTTGACACTTACACCCGAGTATGATTATCATAGCTCGGGACAGCATTACAATCTAGAGGAACCCCATTTCCATCCAATCGACATCAATGTTAAAGACAAAAAAATACTATGAATCCCTTGGGCCTATTGGCTACAAAATAACACGTTTCTACTTCATCAAAAACATCTCCATCGCAATACTTAAAAGCTTTTCTTAATTATGTTGACTCATTTCGAATTGCAAATGCAACTACCCTGAAAATATGGTCATTAACATCATAAGTTCCTTATTACGGATGCAAGCGACACGATAAGTGGATCATTCCATGCGTGCTAGAAAGAGAACATAAAAAAATACAGATTTTTACCTTTCCAAGCAACTTTAGCTCTTTACCGACGGTTCCAAAAACTTTGCGTTAACTTCAATTGGCCACACCTGTCAATACCGAAAATAAGAAATAAATTTAAAAAAAAAACGTGTAGTAGGCAAGGTTTACACCCCAGAGATAAGCAAAGGAAGCTATTTGTAAAACAGATGCAATGCTTTGGGAAGACAAAGGAAGCAACAGTATCTAAGTTTCACTTTGAAGATGAAACGGCAAAGTATATCTTTCATGTTGTATTTCTGCGAAAATGCGCATTACTCCGGAAAATTACTTCAAAAGAAATTAACCATTAGACCAAACATCAAAATCACACGTTGTTATACCCTTCCAAAGGTTAAAAGTTTTAAAAAAAAAATTTAATCAAATGGTTAAATAGATACATCTAGAAAGACCTAATCACTAGAGGCTCCCAAAGCTAACTAGAAAGAGGAAGAGGACCATGAAACAGAGGGTTACAAATACAACATACAAACATGACACAAGTTTGTTTCGATAAAATCGAATGCAACAGTCAACAAGAGGTCTTCAACCGGTCTACCAGCATTCAAAATCTGCACAAACCCGAGATAAATCTCTTCATAGTAGAAGAAGATAATATGGAGTAAAATAAGTTGAACTTCCTGAAATATTTCATATCAAAATTCCAAACCAGAAGTCTCTTTAATTGTACTTAAGATACTAATGCTACTAGTTATAGCTTATGATAATAGACTGATAAAAAAAACTCCCATCTTGGCACTAAATTATCCCCGAAAAGAAGTAACATAAATCATATTTTCTCCAAAAGGAATGAAAACCAAAATACCTTAAGACCAAGTAATCTAATAGGTGTAATCTGGCCCGGCACGATGCATTCGGGTCCAGCTGCTTCCACAATAGCCTCTGTCGCTAACCCACTTCCTATAGGATCCCAGTGCTGCAAAAATCAGAACAAAAATATCAATTCATCATCATCTTCTTCTTTTTTTTAAAAGAAAATAAAATTGATTATAAAGGGATGACCTTCATGATGGCGATGCCATAATTGGAATTAGGGTTTTGACGTAGACGAATAACAGGGGAGTAGTGGATTCTAGGAATTGATTTTCCAGCTGAGGCCCGCCATGGCACATCCTTTTGCAACGAAGCTCCTCCTTTCTTCGACATGGTTTGGTTTTTAATTGTTTTAGTTAAGGATTGAAACGAATTCAACTCTGGGTTTTGAACGAATTCCTGATTGGAATTAAGATAATGATAAGAAATGAATGGAAATTAGTTCATTAGAGAGAAGCTGAGGAAATTGTTGCTCGTCTCACCTGGTTTTTAAACTGTGGTTTATCGAAGCTGTTTTTCTATTTAGGGTGAACCATAATGAAGGTCATTAAACTATAATGAAATAATTATTTTAATCACTACAATTTTAAACATTCTAAAATTATCATTAAATTTAGTAAAATCTTAAAATCTATTATATTTATTTTATATTTTTTCAAGAATTTAAAAATCAAAATAATTATTTAAATATGATTTAATAATCTCCATTATATTTATTTATTTTGTGAACATGAATGTGAATAGTATATCATCCCAAAATTTTCACTATTTTAACATATTATATATAATTATATATGTGTGTAAGTATATTAAAAGATGTATATATTTTAACATGAATGCAAAGGTTTCGGGTTCAAGTACTCTGAGTATTACGAGTGTGAGTATTTAATATCAAATGATTAATAGTTATATTTGAATAGATAATATCTTGTACTTACCTCAAATTAATATATATATATATATATTAATTCATGTTTAGATATGTGTCAAACATAAATGATAAACAAAGATAATTTTAATAAATATGAAAATAGCATAGGTTCAGGTTCGTCCATCAACAAGTGTGGCATGTGATACTTCACATGGCTTCAAAATTTGAAGAAGTCACGCTTTAGAAAAATATTATGATTCTAAGAACATTTAAAGGATGACATCTTTCAAATAATATCACAATCATAGAGTTGTTTTGTTTCTCTTAGTTTTATATGTTTGAAAAATATTATTTTATAGAAAACACTCGTAATACGATAATCTTTAATATTTTATAATTTAATCTTATTATAAAATATTTTCAGAGTTTTATTTTAAAAAAACTAGCATAGGACCTCTGTACTTTTTGAGAAGGGCGGCTTAGGTTATTATATACATTAACAAGGAAAATGTGTGTCAATTTTTAGTCTTTAAAGAATCATATCCTAAACTCTTGTTCCAATATGTAAATCAAACATAATTGAATTTGCAAAGAAGAAGAAAAAGATACAAGTTGTTCCTCAAGGATTAGCAGCCTGTAACTAACAAATTCCAGGCATTCTTAATTACCTTCCCCCCGCCGTCTCCGATCATCTTCTACGATCGAAATCCGACAAAAAGAATATATAAAATTCTGAAAAGAATAGTGACGAAGAGAAAAAGAAAACGTAGCATACCATCAAAACTGAGAAGGGAATAGCAGACTGCGAATCGTTTAGCCTCCTCCGCCTTTCTTAGCCGCCTCTTCTTCCAGCTTCTTCCATGCCATTTCACGCTGCTCTTCCATCTCGTCGGCTCTGGCCGCTTTCTCTTCGAGCTGCCTCTCGCACTCGTCGACTAACACGGGGTCCATTTCCGCGAACATCTTGCGCACATCGATGGTCAACCCGTGAACTTCTGGATTCCAATGACCTCGGATGTTCTTCTCCAACGCCTCGAACATGATCGGCAACACCACCTTCCGGTTCTGCGAGATTAATCCCACGATGTGCTCGCTGTTCCAGAAGAAAAGTGCTCGTTCCGCCACCTGCAACACAAAACCCTCACCTAGTAGGGCCACATTCAAACAAGCGTAGCTGGATGAAAACAAAATTAGACTCCACAAGAAAGAATTTCAATATTTCGATTCGACGTTAAAATATTTAACTCGATTTATAATTTTTAAATTTGATTTGATAAGAAAAAATTTAAATAAAATTTAAATTTTTAATAATTAATAATGCGTTTTCAAGAAATACATATGAAATATATATATATATTATATAAAATTATTTAAATTAAAAT